GACAGGAGTAATTGTCAGAGCAATGGAAACCTTTTTAATGTTTACTTAAAAAAAACCAACCCAAAACTGTAACATTTCAGTTGTGTATATGTACTGACTCTATAGATTTAGAGAGGACCATTGTACTTGTAAACTAAATGAGATGCTAAAGTTTAATTACTCTCTAGATCTTAGAAAACAGATGACTTAAGGTATGCCTAAAACTTAGGTTCTTGATTTTTATATCTCCCCCGTCCCCTTTTTTTCCTCTGTTTCTTTCTAGGTTTAACTATAGATCAACGCATCATCTTGCATCCCATGGGTTTTATGAATTTTTAAATTGGTTTGATGAAAGAGCATGGTATCCACTGGGAAGAATAGTAGGTGGAACTGTAAGTATTGTAATAATAACTTAAAGATGACTTTGCAGTTAGTTTTTTGAACTTTCAGTACAAATTTGACATTGATAAAAGGAGAATCTTAATAAAATATGCTTTTAATTGTCAAATTGCTGCAGAGAGAATAGCGAGATGTTTTTAATTTTTTGCTATGGGAACTAAGACAGTAAGTCAACATGCTTTAGTCTTTAACCAACAGCGTACTATAAACAAGAAACACAGTTTTACTTCCTTACATATGACCTTCTAATTGTAATAAATAAGGGTATTATGACTCCTGTAATTCTGGTACATGAAATGAAAAAAGCAAAAAAAAAATTTATTTTTTTTTTTTTTTTTCAAAAAACAGTTATCTAAATTTCTTAAGGCACAAGTTTTAATCCAGTGGTATATTTTGAGTGAACTTCATGTGTGTATGGAAAATGTTAGGATTTCACTGGGAAAAGACCTTTTGAAATTGTATCAGCAGGACACTTGTATGAAGCATCAGGAGTAGGTAAGATGGATGTCGATGCAAGTTACAAGACATGGAAAGGTGTATGAAACTATTATCAAATCAGAATACAAATATCATTCATTAGTAGAATAGCTTTAGTAACACTAACACAGTCATGTGTTACTTAATGTGTGAAAGTGCATTAAAACTTTTTAATTATAGTACATACCATTTAAGTGCATTTACAAGTTTTTTTGTAAAAATCAGATTACAATTTGTTTTAGTATCTTAGAGATACTTTGAGACTCTTTTTATGTAACACATATATGTGCTTTTTCATACCTGTCTTAAATGAAGTAAAAACCCTTACAAAATAGAACTGAAATGTTGATTGCATACATCATTTTGCAAGTTATCTGGTATATTATGTTTTAATAGTTTATCTTGAAAACCAACTTTCAAGGATATATGCAGGTGAACGTTGTGTTGTCTGTTAATTTAGTACATCACTCTTCTTAGCTTTCAAAAGAAACTAAGGCAGGTGAAGTCCATATTAACTTTTCTAGTACATATTGATTTTTCTAATGTTGATAAATGTGGGAGGGCAGAATTCCTATTAAGAATATTTTAATGTTCTCCAATATTCTATGATGGGTTCAATAGATTTGTGTAAGTCTATGCTACCTTTCCTGGAGAACGTCTTAATTCAATTTTGTAGGACTTTATTTTAATCCTTTATATCCAAAGATGTCTACAGATGTCTTGGAAATATATAATACTTAACTGACTGTCAGCTTTTCAGCTTAAAAAAAATCTTGTTGATGCATGTTTTCTTTCTCCATGGTTAACAAGAAGTGAAAGAGTGGCATGGTGTATTTTGGAGGTAAATGAATAGGGCCTGGAAATGTTGTTGGATTTCTTCTTGTTGTCGTAGGGGTTTGGGGTTTGTTTTTTTTCCTTAAAGCTGTTAGGTGGCTTGAAATTCTCTTGCAAACTTTAGCTTCTGCTTCAATACCTTAACGACAAATTCTTCTTGTTATATGATAAATGTCAGGCAAGATAGGATATTGTCTGTATGTTGCTTATTCATTTACGAAATGGATTGTATGTAATTGTTAGCATTTGGATAAAATTTAAAGAACCTCTGGTATTCAACGATGTTGTCAAAACATGATTAAAATAGTATTAAAATAATTCCATTAGCTTTACCTGCTCACTGCTTATATCAGCTTAAGAAATGACTGTTTCATTGCAAATTATATACAAAGAACCTTACCGTGATAGTTTTCTGCAATAACCTAGTGGGTTGTGGTTTGTTTTGTTTGTTTGTTTTTTTTTCCCTCCTTTTAGGTGTACCCAGGATTGATGGTGACAGCAGGCCTTATACATTGGATTTTAAATATGCTTAACGTGACAGTCCATATAAGAGATGTATGTGTGTTCCTAGCACCAGTTTTTAGCGGCCTTACAGCTATTTCTACTTTCCTGCTCACCAGAGAACTGTGGAACCAGGGAGCAGGGCTTTTAGCTGCCTGTTTTATTGCCATAGTTCCAGGTTACATATCCCGATCAGTAGCAGGATCATTTGACAATGAAGGCATAGCTATTTTTGCACTGCAGTTCACATACTATTTATGGGTAAGTAATTGCTGAGTCTTTTGCTTTGGAAAGGTTTTTTGGTTCCTCCTCCAAACAAATGACTGATTTTTCTTAGAATCCATTGAATTCTTATTTTCCTCCCTCTCATCCCTCTTCCCCTTGGCTCTTGATCAGGCCGGTACTGAGAAGGCACATGATCTGAACCACTCTATATTCATGCTCTTTAGTTTGCTGTGTAAAAGTACTGTTCACCTGAAGTATGTGTGTCCTATAGAAGTAGTAGTAATAATAATGATGATGACGGGTCTACAAATGTAAAGCAAACAGGAGGGTTGTTTCTGTTTTTCAGTTTGGAGGTATCAGTATTATGTGAGCATCAAACTTTAGCCTTTGTATTTAGCTGGTGAAAAGCAGTAGACTCTGAATAAAAGTGCTTTGAATTGTCTTTTGTAAAAGCTATTAACTGTATGGAGGGTCTAGACTTTGACTTAAGCATCCAAATTAAATACCCAAAGCTGTTCCAGAGCAAGATAATAATAAAAAAATAGTCTGGTGTCTTTTAAATAGCCTACTTGCTAGTGGAGTTTGTCTGTCACTCCTTAATCTGTATGTAGAATTGCTTCTGTAATGCAGTTTTGTATGAAGGAGTTTAGGCAATCTGGAATTTTACTTGACTGTTGCATCTCTTCTGGAAATATCACAAATAGCATAACTATATAGTTAATTCAGCATAGACACTGTGTGGTACTGTCCCTTGTGCATTCCTTGAATGTGTGTACTCTTCATTCTGAGTGTCTCCATGGACAGTATGTATATGATCATTACGGCTTTTCCCATGATTTTGTTAAGAGTTCTGCTTTTCATAAGCAGATGCATACTCACAAGTTTTTTAGCTTTAGAATATTTCAAATTTTGGGCTATTGTTCATAGGAGTATAATGGCAGGGAATTCAAGTTTTTCATGGCTGAGTGACTGGTGTTACATAAATGCAGGGTTTTTTAAATGTGGTCTTAGAATAAACTGCAGCTGTAAAGGTGTACTGTGTTTGATAACAATAGTAGAATCAACCTACATTGTTACTTTATAATAACTGAGACATGATAGCAGTCATCTGTTCTTATGGAACTCATATTTAACTAAACTGCATAATGTAATAATGTTTGCATGAACTCTTGCAGAATTCTATATGACTCAAATATATTTTATAGATAACTTTCTAGCTTTATATAATGTTGGCTTTTCATTCCTATTTTCTCATACCACAATCACCACCATCAGTTTTGGACAAAATCATACTTCTGGGCCAGTTCATGGATCCCTCTAAGCCTTTAGTGGTATCTGGATGCTCTCATTAACCTTAAGTGAGGTTTTCAAAATTACAGAATAGCTATTTTATCTATAATTGCAGAGTATGGTCTGATGCCAGCCAAAGTAAGCCACAGATAGTCTATGCTTAGAATTATAAAGTGATGTAATGCCTCAGAGAAGGTAGCACAGAAGTGTTGCAACTAGTTTTTTACCTCAGATCGTGAAGCAGAGAGTTGCATTGCATTCTGCCTCTGCTTTAACTGGAGAGAAAGGTATAAGCTGTTTTGTGTGCGAATGAATTGCACTTGTGGTTTAGTTTTATGGCCATCAGTTCAGAAGCATACAAATATAACTCAATATGTGCTAAGGAAGTTCTCTTGACAGTTGTTTTGGAATGAAATTTTGGAATATTGTCCAGTATTTGTTTGTCATTCATAAATACTTGGTTATTTTTAAAGGTGAAGTCTGTGAAAACTGGGTCAGTCTTTTGGACAATCTGCTGCTGTCTATCTTACTTTTATATGGTAAGTCTTTTTTTATATATATATACATATAATAGCTAAACTATTTGAGTAGGGCTTATATGATCCATATGCTGACAAAGAACAGGAGAAGGAGATTTTAATCTTTGTTGAAACCATAACATAAAATTGTTGCTTCCTATTACTATTAAAACTTTAAACATATGATTAAAATTATAATATAAATATAGTAAGAGTTTTGAAATTTAAAGTATTTAAATAAACAAAATGAAAACAATTTTTGGAAAAACTCTTAGGTATAACAACTTTACTTACAAATTTGTCCTATGCTGTGAATAGGTACTCTGATTCAGTGGAATTTTTGTTTTGGTGCAGGTGAATTTAAGAGGAACTTTGATATTCATGTGCTTGTGTGTCATTATTACTAAAATGCAATAATAATATTAAAATTTTATGGATAAAGTTACATTTATATAACTTTGAAAGCTATTTCTTTGGGTATAATTATGCCATAAAGTAAAGCTTACACCAGAACTGCTGATTGAATTTGATGTCAGATTAAACAATCATGAAGTTCCTTTTCATTCTTGATCTATGAAAATGGATGCTATTGCAGAGATGTTCCTAAGGGCTGGCAGAGGGAGAAAAACAGTAGTAAAATTGAGGAGATAAAACTAATAGCAAAATGGGGGGACTTGGCTTCCCCCCTCTTACAGCTTCTGAAACCTTAGACTTGAAAAATTTTCCTGTATGAATTGGTCAAAAGCCCCTTTTTCCCCCCCAACTGTTGAACTTTTTTTTTTTTTTTTTTTGTGGTTATATGAAAAATAAATTACCCTCAAAGTAGCCACTGGTGAGACAGTCAGGCTAGTTGCTTGGTGTTGTTTAAGACTGAGGTCTCAAATATTGCTTTTCTACAGTCAGGTAACTAGGTTTGCAAGAAAAAGGAATTTAAGAACTGTTTTGCATTCATTAAAAGTACAAGGTTAATTCAGAGGTTATCTGAATGCTGCCTAGATTTCCTCTAGCTTTAATGTTCATTGGGTTTTCTGGGAGATTTTTGCTGTTGATACAGCAAATAATAATAGCTTTTGTTGCCAAAGAGGATAGTTATGTCCTGTTAAGAGTACATTTATTTCTTCCTCCATTTCTCCTCCTTTTTACCAAGTCATTAAATAAACAGCTACTTTTTTTATATATAACATTGCTGTTTACATAGCATTACAGTGAAGAGATCCTGTAGGTTTGGTACAGACCTATGTGCAGTACAAAATCAGGCAAGTAAGTTTTTGAATTGTTGTATTTATCTGCTGTAGTCTTTTTTATATTGTGCCAGTTTATTGTCAAAATCCTCTAAAAGTGCTCTTTGTAAATGTGCAGTTAACAAATACAATACATCTACAATTTTACTGCTGAAAAAATCACACAGTAACAAGACCTTCTCATCTTAGTCTGACTAATGTCTTGGTCTGTGGGACTGTATGAGAAGGAGGGGGTGTGATCTAGACTGTGCATGGTGACAGAACTTATAGAGTCAATGTCATAATCATGACATTCAATCCTTGAATGTAAATGAATGTTTTTTTCTTTTATTTTCCTTGTAAGTGCTGTCAGCTAGTGAAAGGTTAAGATTTGTCCACAGCTTAGCCTTAGTGATTAGGTGATAGAATTTTATTGCTTACAGAGTGTACCTTCATCCCTGATGGTGACTTTCCAAATATTGTATTTCCTTTGGGGAAGGAGTTTTGTTAAGACGCCCTTCTAGGCATTTTGCTTAGGTAAATTTTTAGGAAAAGGCATAATTGTACTATTATATAATATTAGTTTGTCTTTCTCTAATGGAATTAGTTATGTTTTCAGTGTAAGCTGAAAATTAAATCCAATCACAATTTTGAGGTAGTAAGAGTCAGTCCTTGCATGGGGAGTTCGGAGAACAGGTCCTTGAAAGAGAAATGGATATTGCACGAAATAACAGAAAAGTTTCTTGATAACTGAATCTGCTTAAAATATATACCTAACTCACTGTGGTAATTTGACTCATAGCATTGCGTTGCATAACGAGAAGGGTTTTTTCCTTGCATTTATATTTTTAGCATTTATTTGACTTCAGCAGCTTCTGCTTTGGATAGCTTTTTATAACAAGGAGATAAAATAAAACAAAGCTTTACAGTGAAGCAATCCTTGTAGGTGTAATAGCATGTTTCCGCTCTTTTTGCCAGTCTGTGAGGATGCCTCAGGTTTCTTTAAAAAGAAAGTGCACCTTTAGTTCAGAATGATCTTCAATGCTTACATTTGGTTTAATATTTTGATAATTAGAGATGCAGGTCTCTGGTCCGTACGAACTGTCTGCTACCTGCATCATTCAAACCTTTCCCTAAATATGATGGTGTCCTAATTGCACATGTTCTCATTCTGTTCTGTCTTACCTGCCTTAATACAATATTTTCTCTCAATAAATAAACCTGCCTATGTAAACCGTGATACTTCATGCTAGTAATATGGCAATAGGATCATGATAATCTGAAACAAGTTTATAGAAAATTTAGAAGATTTCTAGTCTGCTTGTTTCATATTGTCTGAATTGGTTACCCCAAATTTTGAAACGCTTTTTTTTTGTATATTAGTATGAAAAAACAGTACTTGGCCTCGTCCTTATTTTAGAATCTGTTCTATAGAACACAGTCATTTGTGTTTCTTTTTGCATTCTAGGGCTTTAAAAATATCTACATGAATCTAAGCCCTAAAGTACAATTAAAGTGAAAACCACATTAGCTACTGCATTCTAAAAATGAAGATCTAGGGTAGGCATGGTACATATGGGAGAAGTCTAGACTGTAATTTGACAAGAGGATGTATGTTAAAATACAGATTGTCTAGTCAACATTAGCCCTTCTAAATACGTTAGAAATTTAGATAACACATTGTAATGATAGCTCATTAAATCTTTATCTAACCCAGCAATCAGTGATATATTGATAACATTGTAGTGTTTCTGTTCTAAGTACATCATACCAGTGCTTCTCAAGTGCTGCTGTTACTCCAGGTTTGCAATATCCCTGACGTTGTACACCATTCCACAGGGCTCAGCCTTCCTTCCTTGTGCATCCACCCCCGTTCCTCTTGTTTCTTTCTTTACACTACAACCTGCATTGGCTGCTCTGCTCCAGGAGTTCGGCTCCTGGACAGGTACCTTGCTCCCTTTCTTCTCTCTGGCTGGAGATACTATTCCCTGTCCCCACCAAAAAATGCAGAGCATGGCATTGAATTTGTATGTCAAAGGAAAACTTTGCATCCTACCTGGGAGTCCTACTGCTGCCTTGTGCTGCAGCTTTCACCGCAGGGAAAAGCCCCCAGCATTACATTCTTTTTTGCCAGCATGACCAGATTAGCTTGGGAGGAGGAGAAGATAGAAGGATAGCCTTGCAAATCCATCAACCCATTTCAAAAGACTTTAATATGTTGATATGTGGGGGTTTTGTTCTTTTGCGGGGTTTTTTTCTTTTTTGAGAAGAAATATTGATGAAGATTTTGGTGGTATTACTAGTAGTTCTACTTGTCTAGATGTGGTTTGTGTTTTCTTATTAGGCCATCAGGATGTATAAATCCAGCATCGTCTCTCCTAAGAATCTGCAGATATTTTCAGATCTAATTGCCTATTCCATTTCTCATAGGTCTCTGCATGGGGTGGTTATGTTTTCATCATCAACCTTATTCCACTGCATGTGTTTGTTTTGCTGCTGATGCAGAGATACAGCAGGAGGGTCTATATCGGTAAGTTTTGTTAATTGAACAGTTCTTCTCAAATGCTGAATCATGAGATATGAAATTAATTATACTGATGTGTTTTGTATCAAGTGGGAATTAAGTGATTGCATATCGGGTTGCATTTTATTAATTTGACTAGCGATTATAGTCAGTTATTCTCTACAACATGGAAATAAGGAGTTAAAACATACTCACGCTTCTAAAATTCCATATATGTAACTGCTAATTAATTTTCTCCATTCTAGTGCACTGGAAGAAAAATTGGATGGTTTGATATTTGTAGAATCCTTTTAATACATATTTTTTATATATGTGTGTGTGTGTGTCTGTAATAATGTTTCATATTTTTGTCTTTTCCTAGTATGTTAAACAGTTGCTATTTTAAGAGTTGTGCAGCAGAAATTATGTGAATTATTGTGACACATATGAGAAAAAACCTAGGGAATATTAAGCAGTCATGTAAGCTAGTCTAAAAAGTAGTTGTACGAGTCTGTTCACTCCACATGAATCCTTAAGATTTTATTGGGTTAATGGGTCAGCCTTCCTTCCAGTTTCAGGAATGTGTGAATAGTAATCTTAGGAGACCAACTTTTTAATTGATTTGCCTGACATTTAAATACTCTGTAAACTGTTTTTACAGAGGCTTTACCAGTTAAATCAGTTGGCCATGGTGTAGGTTTCTGAATGAAGTAAATAATAAGCTATTTGGGTATTCAAAGGTTTATAAGTTAGCTAGAACAGTTTTGACTCCCTAATGTGAAATCTTTACAATTGATAGTTTGAGAACATAGTATGAGTTGAAGTGTAATATCACATGATGTCTTGTATTTGTAATTATATTTTTGATACCCATTTTAATACTGTTTTATCTTTGTATTTTTAATTATTTTAATGCTTTTTTTTAGTGTCTGCTAGAGAAATTACTATATGTATATTTGAACCGTTATATACTATAATACTTACTTAATTTACTCAAGTTCAGTTTTGTATTTTTGTTACCAAAACTGTAAACACTGGTTTCATACTTCTTGTTAATATATTTATGTAATTCAGAAATGGAAATTCTTTTTAAAAAAAAAAAGAGGGGGTAGGGAGGAAAGCTCTAACCCACTTTTAATTACTTGTCTTCATTAACTACTTCTTCATAACTTAAGGGGAAAGTAATTTATCTTGTTTTGCTTTTAAAATTGTTTTATTGAATATTTTCATTTTCCAATTTCTATGACTCAGGCAAGAGAAAATTAAATCTACTAATTATAAAATCCTGAAGCGATGTGGTAACCAGAAACAATAAAGAATTAAGTAGTCTTGCTTTTTCAGCTTTCAATGAACTAGTCTTTGAACTCATCTGGGGAAAATAGTACTGCAGGTTCATATGAATTAAAGGTTTTGGCAGACGTTTGTTTTGCAAATAGCTACAGTGTTTTGAGATGTTATTGCTCTTCAGCTGTGAGGGAGATGTACTTCAGCAGGGTTGTCAGAATGAAAATGTGATTGCTGCTCTGCTGTTTCATTGCAACTGCTGGCTTAATTTAAGCTACCATGGGAAGCCTTACACACAGAGAAGTCTGTACATCTTGCATGAGTATATGATTTCTACATTTTTTTAACAGGATGTTTTTGTAAAACAGGTAAGAATGTTCAAGCACTTATAGAGGGAAATCAAAGTGTGCTTCGCTTCCAAACTATTCAGATAGCCAGAAGAGTTTACAAAAGCTCATTGGAGTTTTGGAGTTTCTGTGATATGCAATTGCTAGTGTGCCTGCAGCAGTCTCATAATTCCAAAAAAAAATACCAATGTGCAGTTAAAACCTTTGTAAGCTATTGTCAGCTGACGGTAGCTAGTAAAATCTGCATCCATTTTACTACTACCAAGAAGTTTGGGGATTTTAATCTCTACATCAGTTGCTTAATTTTTTAAACTAGCACAAGCCTGACTTTTGTAACTGATGAATGTTTAATCTAATATAATAGTGTAACTGTAGAGAAGAATATTTGGTAACACCACATTTTAAAAAAATAGTGATGGTTTCCTGGTATACGTTTTTTCATATGAATGTTCATACACGAAAGAAAAGGTTAATGCAACATGATCTGATATGCCTGGCAGTGTAATTCAGAATCATTTAATGGTAAAAATTTCCCACAGTGTGAACTTTTTGCCAATCTTAAAATATTTTATGACTTGCAGGCAGATGAATTTATCAGCCAGATAGCTTCTGACCCACTTGGCATGAATGGTGATCATGCTACCTACATTTGAAAGCTTAAACTGTGCTTTTTTTGGTTTGTCTTGACAGTGATCAGTATCTTTCATTGAGATCTTACTAACTTAATAATTAAGAACAAGTGCTTACAATTCCAGTGTGTTAGCAGCCCTTGTATAGGTAAATAACCTCTTCATTAAGATACAGGAACCATTGATACTATTTTCTATTATTGTACTTGTGATTTCTTTTGTAGTTTATCATATGTTTAAAAAATAAATGGTTTTACATTTAGAAACATACAATATAGATTTAAGTCATGCTTGCACGTTTAATAGACTTGGCAATTTTCACTTAAATTTGATTTTTTTTTGTGTACAATTTTTTAATGTTCTGTATACTTTTCAGAATATTTAGTAACAAACACTTAAGGATCTTCTAGAATTTAAAACTTAATTTCAATAATTCCTTGTTCTGTGTCTTGGATTTTATTATTTAAATAGTGAGCAGGCATATGTTTGTATCAAACTTATCATCTGAAGTTTTAGAATACTGAAGTAGTTATTTTTGGTGATTATAATCCATTAATTGAAAGCATGTGGTCAAGTATTCGATTGTACTCTCTGGAGAAGTTTTTCAGTAGGTTTCTTCCTGTGTTTGTACAGTATACAGCAACTAAAATTGTTTGTAAAATGAGTTTATCCATGGTAGGTCAGTACATTTTTGTTCTTGACCTAGTCATGGTTATAACTATGAGAGCAGCTTGCAGGAATGAAAATTAACTCCTTGTTTTTACAAAGACTGTGCAAACAGTAGAATAAAAAGAAACATGGAAAGCATCACCTTGATGCATCTAAGTTGCTAGGAAAATTTTGCTGTGTAAATTGCCAGGATTTTTTTCAATACCAGGCAGGCATATGTGATAGCTGGTTGAAAG